CTCACTAGGCAGTACTCTTACTCAGCATCCTGTTACGCCTCTTGTTCCTCTTCTCCGCACGCAGAATACACTTACTCTACGTTAAAACGGGCATCTTAGTAAAGTTTCTGATATAGCTTATATCTAATTGGTAAGATATAAAGAGAGAGAGAGAAAAAAAATGCAGTTGCGGATATTCTTGTTAATTGTATAAGATGAAATGTTTCCATATTTCTGCATATAGAAATATAATCTTATCTGATACTTTCCCAAACCATTTCATGACTGGTTCCTTCTCTCCTTCCCTCTTGCTACCTTCCTTATTTTCTTTTGACTTCCTCATTTATTAAATTTTTGTTCTTCTCGCTTTCTTTGTCTTTACCCTCTTCTCCCTCCTCTGTGTCATGTCTTTGTCTATATCTGCCTACATCTTTTTTTTCTTCAGTTCAAAGCTTTATCTTCTCCCTTCTCCTTTCCCTTGTCCTTCTTATCCTTCATCCCTCTTCCTCCCTTCGTCACCCTCTCTTCCTCTTAATCTTCCTTCCACCAGCCAATACTTTCTTTCCCCTTCCACTCCCTCTCCCTTCCTCCCCTTCTTCTTTCCCCTCTCCTACTCCTGGTATTCTCTCTCTAACCCCTACCCCCCTTTCCTCGCCCTCCTTTTCCTCTAGCTTCTTCCCTCTCCCCTCTCCCTCTTCCTTCCCCCTCTCTTACTCCTGGTATTCTCTCTCTAACCCTACCCCTTTCCTCCCCTCCTCTTCCTCTAGTTCTTCCTCTCCCCCTTCTCCCCTTCCCTCCCTTCTCCTTTCCCCTCTCCTCCTCCTAGTCTTCTCTCCCCATCCCCTACCCTTCTCTCTCTCTCTCCCCCCTCTCCCTTACACCTCTCCCCTCCTTCAAACCTCTCTTCCCTCCCTGAACACCCACCCTCATATTCACTCCCCCTCACCCCTTACTTCCCTTCCTCTCCTCCCCTGCTCTTTCCAGGAAGCACTCTCTCTCTCTTCTCTTCTCTCTCTTCTCTCTCTTCCTCTTCTCTCTCTCTCTCTCTCTCTCTCTCTCTCTCTCTCTCTCTCTCTCTCTCTCTCTCTCTCTCTTTTATGTTCTCTCTCTCTCTCTGTCTGTCTCTCTCTCTCTCTCTTTCTCTCTTTCTGTCTCTGTCTCTCTGTCTCCTCTCCTCTCTCTCCTTCTCTTTATCTCTATCCCTCCCCCTTCTCTCTCTCTCTCTTTATCTCTCTTCATTTCTCTCTCTCTCGCTCTTTGTCGGGTGTCATCTAACTGCATTTTCCTCATACTGGCGGGAGAGGCAAGAGGTGAAATGCAGAGGAATGAAGGGAGAAAGGAAAGGATTCTGATGAAAAATAGGAGGATGTAAAAGGGAATACAAACGTGTGTAGGGAGATAAAAGAAAGGAAAACATGTGGTGTGTACTGTCCATTGTTCTTACAAGCATATGTGTATAATGGATGTATACTGTAAATCTGTACATGCATTATACACGTATTCATGTGTACTGGGCATATACACTACACGAACAATCTTTTCATCTTAACTTCGTTCACTCATTCTCTCTTTCGCTTCTTTTCTTCTTGTTTTCCTTTAACTTATTAATTTATTCCTTTTTCTTCTCCATATGTACTATACAGTGTACTTACAAGCATACGTGTACTATATATTGGATGGATATTGTATATGTTTTATACATTTATACATATGTATTGTACAAATATACTTTAGGAACACTCATACACACGTACAGCATACACCCACACACACACACACATACACAGACACACATACACAGACACACACACACACACACACACACACACACACACACACACACACACACACACACACGCACACAACACACAAGACACACACACACACACACACACACACACACAGACCACACACAACACACACACAGCACACACACACACATCATCATCTATATACACACACACACACACAAAATATATATATATATATATATATATATATATATATATATACAGTGTGGTAAGTAGCCGAGCGGAAGAATCCCACGCCTTCATCTCAGCAAAGAGTGCTTTCTCTCCGGCCGAAATTGGGCGCATTCATCCCGTAGACTTTCGACAGCCCTCGGCCCGATCGCCTCGCAGCCGGAGTGATGTGATCCCGAGATTCCGTGGGCGTCGTCGCTGACCTGATGGGCGGCTCCGGGGCGAGGAACCACATCACGGGCGCGACCGAGGAGGGTTGTGAGGGCGGGTAGGATTAAACACTTTTTTTTTTTTTTTTTTTTTTTTTTTGAAAAGCTTTTTTTTTAGTGGATAAAGTTTTGTTTTAAAAATCTTCGTTATTTTTTCACATGGAAATTCAGTCGTTAATGAGACTTGCCCGACCTAATAAATATTCATAAACACAGACATACCTCTACACAGAAATAAATTCATATCTGTCTCTATACCTGATAGATATACATTTATCTATCTATTTGCCCGGTTGATATGCATGTCTAGACTAATAAATATGCATTTAC